TAATTACAACTTTCTCTTCCAGCTCAAAATTACAATTCTAAGCCTTCCCCGATCCTCCTTTGCTGAAACCAATTTCTCTTCTCTGAACTTGAATACGTTTATTTGCACCTATCGTGTACCTATCAATTTGTTCAACAAATCATTTGAGCACCCACTCCAGGTCAAGAGCTGTGTTGGCCGGAGAAGAGGCAAAGAGGCAAACAAGGCAGACACAGCCCCTTCCCCCAACAGCAGAACTACTGATGTGGATATGAGTTCAACCTCTTCCGAGATAATTTCCTAAGAGCAGGAGCCAGCTGCATATCCCCGTCAGGGCTTTGCACAAAGAAGATAGAAGGAAAAGCTGGCCAAAAGCATGAAAAGCCCTTGTGCACCTAAACATTACCTGCCCACTTGACTTTGCTCTTGGATGAAGACCAGGAGCTGGTAGGAAGTCCAACTGGGAAGGAGGTGTGGCATGGTGCTTTCCCCGCATGATGCCTATTTTAATGCTCATGGGGAGAGATTCAGGATTCTAAATAAAAGGGAAAACAAATTATGTAAAGGACAGTCCCTTTTTTTTAAGCACTGGATTGAGATTTTAAATAGAGGTACTTTTCACTTCAGATAGAGGATTCAAGGTTATTTATTTTTCTTCTTTTGCTTAAGTAAAGCCAGATGCTCTGCAGGTGTGAATCATGTAGAAGGCTTTCAAAGGTGGTGAGGACAAATGACTATTTTGGTTCAGATCACTAAAATACTCAAAGAACGCTCCACATTCAAGCATCAAGAATGCAAACATGATTTAAAAAAAAAAAGTACCCTTACGAGAAAACATTTTAAAAATGGCAATGGTGAAAACTGGTCAGGTTCTACAACAGACTATTGGGTCTGTAGCTTCTCATTAAAAGCTTTCTTCTCACAACAGATTTTCATAAAGCAAAACCAAAATGATTCCTAGAACTCCAGTGTTGAGTTCTATTCAATGAGTAGAGTGTCTGAATTGGAACAACCTGTTAGGACACACATGTTTCATTTCACTCATGCTTCTTGTCATTCTTTTTTTTTTTTGATGAGCAAGATTCGCCCTGAGCTAACATCTGTGCCACTCTTCCACTATTTTGTATGTGGGTCCACCACAGCATGGCTTTGATGTGTGGTGTAGGTCCGTGCCTGGGATCTGAACCTGCGAACCCCAGGCTGCCGAAGCGGAGTGTGCCAAACTTAACCACTACACCACTGGGTCGGCCCCTTATCATTCATTTTGGAAGCTTTTTTTGTGCATTTGGCCTATGAGGATGCATAGTTTGGGGCTGAAAAAGATGGTACTTTTGAGCCAAAGACATTCCATTTTCCAAGCCATGGACTGTAGGGGTTCTAAGGACCTGCTGAGATGAGTTCCATCAGCAAAGAAAACCATCATGTGGCAGTCCGCCAACCTGGGTCCTTAGTAAATTAAATGTAAACCTCTAGGTTTATTTGGGTTACCAACACTTTTAGGGTTGGAAGACACAGGAAGACACAACTGGTTGCTGCAATACACAAAAGTTTATTTTTGACTTTTTTTTTCTTTTCTGAAGGCAAAATATAATAGAACTGAACCTCAATGAATTTTATACAACAAAAACAGCTTTTAATATGGAACTGACAGTCCATGAACGTTTTAAAATCTCGGAATGGCTTCCCTTTTTCAAAGTCATGCTTTCTTGGAGTCCACGAGAGGTTGGCACGAAGAGATGGTGGCAGCTCACTGGGTGAGGTGAGGGGAAGGACCGGTGGGCTTCCCTAGATCCGCGTCAGCTGGTGCCACAGACTGGATGGGAGGATGCTTTCCACTTTCTCCATGACAAAGTTTAAGGGGGCAAACAAAGTGCTGAGGAACTGCAAAGAAACCAGAAATGCAGGGAAGTCAGGAGACAGCTCGTTCAAGACTGTCAAATGAACCTCTCCAACCCACACTTGCATCTTAAGTCTCTGCATTATGAAAGTCTCAAAAGGCTACAAGTTCATATTTATGTTTACAGGATACATGGTTGGATGATCAAATCTGCATTCCAGCCCCCGCCCCCAGCTGTGATAGATAAGGGGGAGGAGTGTCTGCTGACAGCCCCCTTTACTCCTCTGACAGCTGGCCCACAGGTCCGAGGCTTCCAACTAGTCTTCAGGATCTGCTGGCTGCCCATGCAGATGACTAGTGCCATCAAAAGGGGCTGACAGATGGGTGGCAAGTGGGCAAAAGAGTTAAAAAATGGGGACAACTTAGATCACCCGCTTGCCTAGCTGGGTACGGAACTCACTTTAAGTGGAAAAGGCAATTTAAAGAAGTCAAGTTTGTTGTATGGTTGTGAATTGCTTTGGGATCCTATTGTCTCCCAAGCACCTGTGCAGCCCATGCTTATTTCTGAACTACCTGCTTAGTGCCGTGCATCATGGGAGCCTGGGGGAGGGCAGCAAACTGGCCAGTCCATGGAAGATATGTCCTTGTTGAAGAGGTGCTGCTCTGAGGAGATTTTTGGGATCGCTTTCATTTGGTTACTAAACTCCTTTCTGCTTTTCACGTAGAGAATAGTGCTCATTAACTATGCCTTTTAAGAAAGCCAAGTGCCTCGCCTGAGACACATCTAACATAATCTCAAATCTGTTCTGATTATGTTCTTGTGAAGAACCAGCTTCATTCCATAAACCATCCAGCATCTGACAAAAGAGGTGCCCTAACTGAGCCAGGCACGAGACGGGTATTTGGGTAGTTTCCTTGCTCTCTGTCTATTCAGAACCAAGGTATCGCATTGCTAGGGTTCAATACCTGGTTTTTGTATTGTGGAGTCCTTTGTCCATAGCACAGCACTGTCTATACCACCAAGAATTTCCCACAGAAGTGCAGTGTAGGACATAAGTACATACACAGAGGGGAACATGGTTCTGAGGTCAAACAAATTAGTAGACAGTGGATTTAATTAAGTTAAACGGGCTCCTCTACTGGTCCTGTGTTCTGTGGATTGCGGGTTTTCAAGAAAGGGTATGGTAGGCAAGTTTCCCAAATTCACTTGACCTCAGAATCTTTCCTTTTTTTTAAGACCCAGTAAAATACAAACTGGGAAGGTCTGTAACATATTATAGCTGGACCATCAGGTGTGAGATTTGTGTAAAGGAAACTCAAGATAGTATAAGATTTGGAATCCTTTTCTATGTTGCATCTTTTACATCAAATATATTTACTCAGTAAGGCACTTAAGTGCTGGTGAGATATAAAGAAGTCTAGGACAAAACTCCCACTGTCAGGAAGCTCAAATGCTGGGGGAGGCACTAGGACCTGTACACAGCCAAGTAATAAGACCAGATAGACCATGATGAAATAGAAGATAGAAGCCCAAACAAAGCACCAGGAGGGTTCAGAAAAGGGAGATAATCCATTCTGTTGAAAAGATCAGGAAACACTTAAAATGAGGCAACTGAAATAGACCCCAATGGATGGCTGGGATATCAAAGACAGAGATGGTCTAAGGATAGTAAGCAAAGAAATATGAGCAGGTGGGCCCTCCAGGCTCAATAAACAGCTAGAACAGAAATGGGAAAGCAGCTGGGATGACCAGATGATAGTAAATACTTCAGCTGGCTGGAAGAGATAAAGGCAGAGTTCAAAAGTGACTGGAAGAATGCTGGGAGGGCCTTGAACGCCAGGCTGGGTTGCAGTTAACAAATAGGAGACATGTTAGTCCTTGAGCGAAGGTGGATGGCTCTTTCCTCATGTGGGTATTAGACATATGGCAACTTCTGGTGACCTGAAATTATCCTTTGGTGACTGCACAAAACCATGTGAGATGCTCACCCTACAGAATGGACTGCCTACCCTTTTCAGTTTAGAGTTGAATGTAGTTGGAAGGCATCCTGGGAGATACTGGGCCCAGGAATGAGTAATTACTCCCCAAACTGCCTCTGAAAGAGTTTGTAAAATCCTGGTTATGAGAATACGGAACAAGTCTACTGATTACATTGACCCAACATAATAACATTATAAAATTAAAAAATATACATAACATATATATACACAAACATAAATTTTTTAATCATTTACATGTAATCAGAGACCACCAAGGCTCCAGAAAACATAGCATTTGCCTCTAATACTCAGTCCCATAAAGAAGAGCAAGGTGTTGAAGTGGTCTGGATAAACCACAGATTCTGACAAGGTTGGAAGAAGGGGCTCAACGAACAAGGTATATTGCTGATGAAGTTATCATATCCTAAAGACTTGACCAAAACCAGATTTAGAACTGCCGAAGCTGTGATTGAGGGGGAAAAGATCTACTGAAGTATTAGCAGAAGACAGTGCAGTTAGACGAAAGGCATTGCTCAAAGTCTGCACTCTGGGCCATTTCAGGCACTAAAATGTGGGGACATCAGGGAGCATCAGCTTGGGCAGCAAAATGAATGGAGATGTTGTTGCAAAGTTGGTTCAAATAAACGCCCGTTTGTTTGCTTTGTTTTGGGCACTGACCTGACTCGGATAAAAAGTGGAAAAGTGAGGTCTCTGGAAATCGAGGTGAGACTCACCCTATTTGATGCCTGTAATTGCCCCTCCTCCCACAATGTGGAACAAGATACAGTGGGCCCTGCCTCCGTGAACTATATCTGCCCTTCTCAACGAGGTCCCACAAAAGAGTTAAGTCCCAATACTTCCAATATACATGATTATTTACTGTTCTCCCTCACATCTAGAATGTGTTATCCTTGGGAGAATTGAGAAAAGAATCCCTTGAACCTTTTCACCCCAGTTGAGATGTGCACCCTTTATTACTAAGCTACCTTCCTCCTTAGTACCCCTCCCCACATCCTCCTCCCCACCCCTCAGCCACAGGGAAAAAGCAGACAACGTAAGGAGGCTTCTGAAACCGCTCCGCCCTTTCATTTAGGAACCACATAAAGGTCAGTGGCTTCCATCAGGAGGCATTAAAAAAAAAGTTTGGTGGAACTTGCCTTGCTTGGGATGCTGATTTATATTAGCAGATGTTTGAAAATCTTCACATGTTTGAAAATCAGTCAATACTTTTTGGCCAGAGACTCAACCAACGCACATAGAGAAACATTAGTTTCACTTATAGACTTGGGAAATTTATTGCTTGAAAAGTTAAGTCTGAATGAGCAACACCAGGCAACCCTGTAACAGCTCATCTATCTCAATGTCTAAAACTTCTGTCCAAAGGGCAGAGATACACCGTCCAAAACACACCATAATTCAATCAGTGTCTTGTGGTGAGAAAAAGCAACTGAACTAATAAAAAAGAGAGAGTGACACTTCAATTGCCTGATCCTCCTTTTCCCAAAAGACCATTATTTAGAAGAAGGTCATGGCTCCCAACAAGCTTCATTAACATTCGAAACGCCTCTGCTTATCTGAATAAGTTCCAGGTGCCCCATTGCAATCAGACAATTGACATTTCACTGTAATCAATATCAGACTTCAAAGAGGTCAGGGCCTATAAGTGAAGACGAGAGTCAGAAGTCAGGCGGCTCCGTCTCAGGGAAGGAGAGAGACCAGAGGAGTAAAGACAGGGCCCTTCAAAGCAGAAGGGGTCAGAATGCTGACCTTCCCACATTCTGTGAGGGGCTGGGTTTGGAAGGATAACTTATTTATATGAGCAACCTTATCTTGGTAACCAAACATTCTAGGAAGAGTTAGTCCTAAGTCATTGAGGTAGATTAGATTAGGGGGGGAAAGCCAGTTGAAGCCTCTCATTTTACTATTTTCCAGTGGGGCACACTTCGCTGTGGGCTGCCTTGCTGGCTGCATATCAACATGTAAACACACTGGAGAGTTCTCAAGCTGCATGTGACCTAGGGGGTGGCAGTGCAATCTCTCTGCATCTGCTAAAAGTCATTATCCAGGGACATTATCTCAGGCGAGGGCTGAGAAAATCATTTTCACAAGCTGCAAATGGTTGCAGGCAGCCTATAGGGCGGCTGTGATAACCTGTGGGGGGCTTCATGAGGGGCCTGATGAAGTGACAAGGGTGAAACTGTGGAGAAGACTGGGGGGTGGGGGGGCGGGGCAGGGCGGGGAGGAGGCGGGAGATGGGGCTTGTCTCCTTCAGGCCATCCATCTTCCTTCCCCACGAAGTCTCTCCAGACGTTTTGGAAACTGCTAAATCTTAATGAAGAGCAAGATGAATGTGATCCTCCAGACAGAGGTTTAAAAGCAAATTTATCTAAACTACATTTGAAAATTATGAGTAGCCGAGCAAACCACCACACCTTGGTAGTGGAGACTGTAAAGGCAAGTTTATATTTTATTCAATCATTTGATCCTAGACTCAAAATCAAAGCTTTGGAAACATTAAATGAGGAGAGTGGTCCTTTGTCTAACATACATAATGAACACATCTCTCCAATGTTCTGGAGGCTGTACAGCCTTTCCTAGAGAACACCAAGTCATATTCTATTTACTATCCTCCATTCTTCCCAATCCCCTCCCTGGTTAAAGCAGTTTTAGGCAATTAGTCATTTCATTCAATATGGTGGTTCTCAGCCCTCAACCCACATCAGCTGGGGACCGTGTGAAAACTCAGATACCCATGCTGCTCCCCAGACCAATTAAGTCAGAGTCCCCATGGGGAAGGGGCACAGACATCAGTAATTTTTAAGCCCCCTAGATGATTCCAAGGTGCAGCCAGGGTGAAACCACTGATTCCTAGAAAGCTTTTGCCTCAACAGCCCTGACAGCACGCCACACACCTGCAAAAGGCTGCTCAAAGGTTCAGCTCTCTTGAGACCAGTGGTCCTGAAAGGAAATACAGTCCTCAACCCCATCCTCAGAATCTGCTGGGGTCTTTGTTAAAAACAACTCCTGGGTGCTAACACTCAAGAGTCTGGTGGTGGGGCCAGGTGAATTTTATGCACACTAGAGGCTGTGAATCTCTGTTCTGATCCAAAACTCCCACCAAGTGCTATTTGTTAGTTTAATGAAGAACACCGGGCGAATGACATACTTTTACAGATATGCTTTAAAAAATATTGAGGAGAGGAACATGAAAGGAGGAACAGTAATTGTCTAATGTTGTAAATATACTCTTACTTTAAATTTTACTAAGTTACACTCTAATCTACTCAGACTTCTGGCCACTATTTTCACTCAGAGGTTGACCTGAGAATAGAAGAAAATAATAAAAAGCATAGGTCCATAAACTAGGGAGCACCCAGGGAGGCAACTTGAGTGATATTGGATTTAGAAATCATATCATATACAGAAGACTTAAGGAAATTTAAGATGTTCTGCCTGGAGAAAAGAGAAGGTAGTAAGTGAGAGGTTAGAGGTGGCCATGAATGTATTAGTTATCTTAAGTCTGCAAGAGGAAATAGACTTGTTCACTATAGTGTCGGAGGGCAGAACAGGAGCAAGTGAAAATTACAAGAAGGTAGATCTTGTCAGTATAAAGAAGAGTTCTGAGTGATCCAACAAAGAAACGGGCTTCCATGTTGAATAGGTGAGTTCCCATCACTGAAAGTGTTCAAGATGAGTCTAGATGACCTCTATCATGTTACTGTTGAAGGCAATTTGTTTAACGTACCTTTCAACTCTGAGTCTATAATTGTAATTATAAAAGAAGAGAAGAAATGCTAAGCTGTATCTGATTTTTACATTGATTCTTGCTGCAGAAACCACTACCATTTATTTATTTAATAATCATTTATTGAAAACCTACTATGTGCAAGTTACTGTGCAAAGCTTTGGGGATACAGAGATAAGGAAGACATAGTTCTGCTCTCAGGGAGCTCACATTCTAAAAGGGAGACAGACAAGTTTCCAACAATTATAATACAATACAATAAATGTGATAATATAGGTATTCATGGAATACTGCAGGATCATAGAGGAGAGACATCTAACTTAGCTTAGGAGAAACTTAGACAGAAAGCTGAGTATAAAAGAATAAAGAGGCATTAGTAGAGTGGCCAAGTAGAGGTGGTGATGGGGAAGGGCATTCCATGCAGCACAAACAGCATGTGCAAAGGCACTGAGGTATACAAGAGTCTGGTGCATCTGGGAATGGTGAGTAATTCACTATGGCCCAAGAGTGGTGTCTGTGCAAGAGTTGGGAGGGATGAGACTGAAAAGGCAAGCAAGGTCAGATCATAAAGGACCTTACATGCTATGCTAAAGAGCTGGGACTTTATCCTGAAGATGGTGGGAAACCACTGGAGACATTCAAGCAGGGAAGTGACATGCTCAGACTTGCAAATTTAGAAAGATCATTCCTGTGTCAGTATGAGAAAAAGACTGGCAGAGGATAAGACGGGAAGCAAGGAGACCAGTTAAGCCTCTTGCAGGCAGCCAGGCAAGAAATAACAAAGACCTAAACTAAGAGAGAGGACTAAACTAGCAGAGAAAGCGGGGGAGAAGAGGTGAATGTAGTGGCTCAGGAGGTTAGACTGACTGGTTGTGGAAGCCGAGAAAGACGGGGTGTGGAGAGGGAGGGAGGGAGGAGTTTGGGAGGGCTGCCGAGTTTCTGGCTTGAGGAACTGAGTGGGCAGCAGTGCCACTGGCGGAGGTCGGGAGGACAGGAGGAGGAGTGGTTTTGGTGGCGGGGGAAGAAGGGCGATGAGTTCAGGTCTGGAAATGTTGAGATTGAGGTGCCGGTGGGATTTCCAGTTCCTCTTCAACACGCATGAGAATACTCTTGCAATTCCAGTCCCTGAACTCTGCCGAGCAGAAAATGTCAATCATCTGGAAAGGGATTAAATCAACCCAGCCAAGTTAGAAAGCATCCTTTCTGACTCCACTCGCCTTGAAATCAGAATGGAGTTCCAGGGAAATAATTGATACTCTTTTCCTTATTCCTTCTGTTTGAAACTCACCTGTGGCAAAATCAGTAAATTTATCCTCACTGCACGTGCAGTTTGAAATGGTCAGTTTTCAACAAGGAAACAATTGCTCTTGGTCGCCAGTGCAGATGGCTTTTCTTATTAAAGCTCCTCTCCACAAGCCTCCTTAAAGACCCTTAACAGATTTCCATATTTCTAAATGTTATATCTGTAAACTTCCTAATACTACAAGCCCTTCACACCCTCTCAGTTCATTTGCCAAACAAGCCAAGAGTTTGTAGCCGTTAAAATTTTTTTAATTTAAATCATCTTTGAACATGTAAATCTCATCCTTCTTGAAGTAAAGACCCACAATATCTAAAGATTAGAAATAATGTCATTCAATTTATACAAAACTGAATAATTTCCCACACATTTTTCATTTGCTAGGATTCTCTTAATTATTTATTTAATCCTTTTAGACCTCATGCTTTTTTTGGAAACAGAATTTTTTTTGTGAAATGAGGCAAGGCATGCATTAACAAACAACCTACACTTTCTCATTTGACCTTCAACCTTTTGATCCCACTCATGATAATGAAAATTAAACAGTGAGCAAACGATCAGTAGAGGCATGTCCATTTCTAAATGACACTCCCCCATTTCTCTCACGCTGCGTCCCTTGGCTTTCCCTGCCCCTTCCCTGAGGCTTCCCTCTTGGCAAATACTCACAGCTTTTGCGAAGACCCCCATAAGTTCCGGGAATTGATGTGTCAGGAGGGCCAGCATGGCTGTGAAGGAACACAATCCAGCAGTAAAGAGAATAAAGAAGGGAAGCTCCTTCTTTGGGTAAACTGAGACTTCATGGAAAGCTGTGGAGAAGATCAAAAGGGAATTATCAGGGCTAGAGTAAAACGCATTCTCAGGGGATTTCTACATGTGGGACTGTCTCTTCAGAGCTTTGGCTGAAGCCTGTTGGAAATGAAAAGGGCAGCACTTGAACGAACCAGAGCCAACACCTGAGCCTGCCTCTGGCCGCCTATCTGCTTCTCCCGAGTCCATACTCAGCCCTCAGCGCTCTACCTAGGGCGCAGTAGGGCTAATGTGGGGAGGTCACACATTCATGGACAGGGCCAGTAACACCATCCATGCCTAATATATAGTATTCCTTCCACAAGAGCAAACACAAATAAAAACAAAATTTTATTCAAAGTATAAAACACATGTTCATTGTACAAAACCCAGAAAATCCAAAATCAAGTATACTGAAAAAAAAAATCTTCTCTCTAGATTTTCACCTTCCTGTAATTTTTTATTCATCATTATAGGCAATATTAGTTTATCTTGTATTTTTTTCCTGGAACACTCTAAGTATGTTGATGGAGGCTGCCACCCTGACAGAGACATTCAGCTGGGCTACTCAATCTTCAAGGGCTGGGGATTAAAGCTGTGAAGGTCATCTGGCACAACTATAGGAGACTCTTGATGACAAATATACTTCCAACAACCACCAAAAAAACAAATAACTGGTGCTCTTTAGAGTGTCTTTCATAACTTTTAAATTTCGAACGTTGGGTTTGGGGAAACCAAAAAGCTGTGGCACAAAAGCCGAGAGAACGGACTCCCCCGCTCTCTGCTCGAGGTGCAGCTGCCTGGGACCTGGGCCGGTGCGGGTGCTGACCAGGGGAGGACGGGGCTGGCCTGCAGACAGCGAACACCAACTGCCGGGGCCCTGGTGCCGGGGAGCCATGACACTGCACGTGAGCAATTCTCCACTCGACCCAGAAGGACCCCAGTGCTCCATTTTCCTCAGGAAATCCGAGATCTGAAGGCCTTTCCTCAGCCATTCAGCTCTCATGACTTAGAGCCCTGAATACTAGTCCACTCTGCTGAAACCCAGGGTGGAGAGGGGCAGGGACGGATGAAGCAAAACAAGCACATGCACCTGAATCCAGGGAAGTCTCCCCACTAGGATCCAAACGCAGAGTGCAAGTGCTCAGGGCTGACTGTGACAACAATGACACTTTCAATATGCAAAACGTGGGTAGCATTTAAAACAACCGACCCTCTTTACATCCTCACCATTCTCACCATCAACCCCCAACTCCCAAAAGATTTTTGAGGGGGGATCAAACTTGGACAACTGCATCCAATTAAATAAGTGTGAGCTATAATTTTCTATTTCAGGCTTATAAAGATTATTCCTATAAAGTTTCTTTTAAGAACTGTAATCTTGTCCTAATAGTGAATCTATCCCCATGGAAACTTAATTGGACACAATTAAAACATTTTAAAACAGTGTACTTTTCAGAAAACTGCCTTTCTTACCAGAAAATGGAAACTTTAACAAGGATGTTCCTGAAGGGGGATTCAAAAGGTAAAGTGTGGGCCCATAACAGGGATTTGTGGAATCGAATCTAACGTAGTGTGAGGCACCAGTAATAGTGTGTATTTTTCACAATAAACCTCGGACAATGAGGAACAACACATCACTGGGATCTCCCAGTTTGCTAAGGAACACATCTCACCTTGGGTCTTGAAGTAAGGAGATAAGTGAGCTCCCTCTTGCTACTTCAGTTTGAGACAGCAACTCGTTTTGCACCCAGACCCCACCATATTGGAGATTTATGACTGGCTCCACAATGTTGGCGTTGGACAATTTACTACGCACCCAGGGCTCCAAAGTTACACTATTCCTCTGGGCAAAGTATTTAAATATGTTATAGCTACGAGCTATGACATAAATGGGGTTGGTAAAAGGGAGGGGGTGGCAGGAGAGAGGATGGGCAAGAGAGAATAGCCAAATTTGGAGCTTATTGTCTGAGGGAGAAAAATATGTCCTAAGTCAGGGCCACATGAAGAGCCTGGACATGATCCTTGTACACAGTATGATTTGATAATAGCTAGTTAGCCAGAATTGTCAAAACAATGTTGTACAGTAAACCAAATCATCCTTTCCACATGTGGTGTAGGCCATCAGACTGCTAGCTTGTAAGGTACTCGAGGGCAGGGCTCCCTCTTTGTGCTGCATACAGTGCTGAGGCTGCACGTGTGCTCTGCACGTTACATCAACGCACTACATGTAATCCACGAGAAGCTCACGGGAAATCCCTCCGGCCAAGAGCATTGCATCACCACAGAGAGCACACCCGGCCGGCCCCATGACTCCGCCTCTGGCAATGATGCCAGCGTCCTGGTGCTGCCCTCCCATTCGTGACTCATCTGTAGCTCCCTCTGAAGTCAGTGCTTCCTCTTCAACTCCAGTCTGTGCAGACTGCATCTGACCAGCTAGGGAGCTCAGGCAGAACCATGCACAGTCGACCAGCCCAGCTAACATCAGCCCCAAACTAGGGGTCTCTGTGCTCAGGCCAACCAGTACATGATGCCTCTTCATTTAAATTGCAGTCCTCTGGGGTCTTTCCCTTTGATGAGTCTCGAGAGACTTGGAGGAGCAGGAAGCCAAACCCACTCATATAACTCACTTTAACGCATATGCTATTAAATGAGGACAGGGTTTGGGAGGAGAGTAATAAAAGACAAGGGACATTATAAACATTTCTCATTCCCACCTCTTCCCATCCCCACCTTCAGGCACCCCACCCTCACCGGCTGAAGAGAGGAATGCAGAGGTGAGACTTACAGGGAAGCAGCTCTCGGTCTGCTGTTTCTGTACAGATTGGGTAAGGATAAAATAGATGCCCCTTTTCCAAGGGATAGGGGATCATCCGAAAAGCTGAAAAGGAAAGACAATATGTTAAAGGTTCAATATTTGTCTCATATCTTCTCAACTTCAAAAAGGGACTTTTGAGCATTTTTATAATGGTGAACACTTCTACAAATAACTCCCAGAAAGGATGCAAGACTTACCCAAACTCTGAGTCATGTGCCAGATAAACTGTCAGAGATGCATTATGATGTATGACTCACACATTAATCTCACACTATATATTCTGGGCAAACCTCACAAAACTGGGTGGGGGTGCAGAGGAGTAGGGAAGCCATCAATTCTAATGCCCAGGGTTTCCTCATCTATGAAATATTACTAAAATGTCATAAGCACTAATTCAAAAGAGCTCAACTCATGGTAATAACGTAAACGTGAATTGAAATGCTTCCTCAAGAAGCAAATGTGGATTGACTCGTTGGAGCTTGTTACAGATGTACAAATATGAAAGGCATTCTACCACATCCATTCTAAAAAAATGTCTAGGTGGATTAGAATTCCAACCAAGATGGATAAGAACAAAACTCTAAAAACGCCTGACTTGGGAGGTATTTCTAAACCTTATGAAACTTTTAAATCTTCAATATCACGTGGGAAAAAAATGGATCTGGAGAGAATGATTATCTGTATTTTGATGATGTCAGGCCTCCTAAATTCTGCTTTTGTGGCATCAGATGACATTAGGTCTCACACTGAATTATGGTTTTCCAATCAATCCATCCCTTCCCGTGATCACATGTGTTACTCTTCCTGTTATCATGTCATCAGCATGTTAGTCTCACGGTTCCTATGAACAGTGCTCACAGAGGTAATTTTTCTTCAACAGATGTCCTTTAACTACAGCATGCTATAGATATAAAATATAAAACCTACACCCTACACTAGGAATGTCAGATAACAATCCTTGCCTTTATGTGTGTCAAAGAGGGGTGGTGGCAACACAGCAACCTTTTCAGTCTTAAATGCTGCATTTCAAGGAACCGTAGCTACATCCTCAGCTGTGTAATTACCTAAGCCTTCTCAAAATGCTGTCAATGTACATATTTATCTTTTGCATACTTATTTCAAACAGGAATCAGAAACAAAGAATGTTCTCCCTCACAAGGAATGACAAGGTTCCATTGTAACCAGTATCAGTGCACATATGGTATTTATTCTGGTGTCTGAATATTATTTAAAAGTAAAAACATTATGTATGTGATTCCAGCATTTGGAATGCAGTCAATCTACACCACAGTGGTATCACTCTGGGGTTACAGCACATTGCCACAGAGAATATAAATCACTATAAACGTGGGATTAGAGCAGAGCCAGTTTGCTGGCAGTTTGCTGAGGTAAAAATGTTATCAATTTTCCTCTCGTAACAGAAACCTCTTAAACAGAGATTAAAACATTAAAAACACCCCAGACTTTAACTCTTCTTAAAATAAAAGGCTCACCCTAGTTCAATCAGACTTTTTCTTTCATGCAAACAAAGATGACTTTTGCCCGCTACAACGAGCAAGACACGAGCTCCCTGCACAGGTTGTTAACACACAGATCACTCGAAGGAACCAGCATCTCTCTCAATAGAACGGCTTGCAAGAGGAGAAAAAAAAATTACAAAACCAAAAAAACCCTTTTATTGCCTTCACAGGCAGGATACGCTGAAATCTCTTCTGCCAAGCAGTGCATTTAAATTTAAACTGCAATACAGCAGGATTTCAATACCGTTTCTCATAAATGATGGCCGCCATGAAAGCATCCCAAAAATGTGGAAAAAACTACGTGGAAGTATTTTTTTTTTTTTTTTAAATCCAAATTCTCCATGTGCAACAGGGCTGCTGTAATTAAGAATCTGTTAAGGTTCATATGATATAAATAAACCCTCTGTTTTCAAAGTGGCTATAAATTTGAATGCTAAATTTTATTCAAAATTGAAGTCAGTTTGCACTTCAGGGAGCAATTTTTTAAATGAAATATAGGAATGTAAGATCTTGAGAGTGTTCAACCATAGAAATCAAATGGTTGGTTGGTGTCTTTTCAGTCAGATGCCAAATTTCTTTTACTCCAGTATTTGGCATGCATACAGAATTTTGTGCATCAAGTTAGTCTTTTTGTTCTTCTAATCAGTTCTGATCTTTTTGGAGGGTGGAGCCATTGATTATATACAATTTAAAAAAGAATACACACACACACTTCCTGCATTGTCCTCCCTCTACCCAACACCCATGATTGTAAAGATGCTTATGGTGTTCTTAAAATCTCTCTCTCTCATTTCAGTTGTCATTTACGTTGAGTTCATAAAATAATATTAAGACTTTTGGCTTCAATAAACAAAGGCAAATACAATTTCTGTTTGCAATTCTATCCTTTACCCACCCTGTTGTGCAGGGTCCAGGAAGTGTGAGATAAGCAGTGGAGGTCTGGAGAGAGCGGGAAGAGGCACCGCATAAGCCTTGCCAGCTACCCCTCCCACCTCCTGTTCCCTTTCACTGCAAAGACAGGCAACTGCTCCATGAGAACCTCGTGGCTTTAGCTGAATGTCCAGAAATTTTGCAAGTGCAAGTAGTAACACACTGATTTGGCAGTCCAAATAAAGATAGAAACAGAGGTCATTTGATCTAGTTTCTGAATTTGATCTATTTCATGAGTGACTACAAACCTCCCAAAAATCTTCATCTGAAAAACATACATTTCATAAGAATTAAAAATATGCACGTATTTGGTTAAAAACAAAACAAAACAAAAAGCTGGGCCACTCAGAGTTAACACATGGTACACAAATGGCATTTCTGCATTTTCCTTTGTGGGCCATCTCCCGCCCCTCCCTGATTCTGTTGTGCCTTTGTGGAAGGGGTGAAATGGAACTGGGAATTAGTTAATCGACACATCAGGCCCTCCACTGTGAAGTCTGAGGCATTACACTACTGCCTTCTATCCCTGACCAGACACGTTTCCTAGGCTCCAAGCCTATCGGTGCTGTGCGCATCAGATACTCTCCACCAACACTGGAGAAAGAATCAACAGAACCAAAGAATGGACAGAAGGATGGATACATGAACCAATTAATTCCTGATCTTCCCAGCAATTTCTAATGACCTCTCACTCTACCCACTACATAGACAAGGATAGAAGGTAATGTTTGATATTTGATTTGCCTATGTTGCCTTTTCAAAGAGGATCTCAGAGAACTTTATACAGACAGATTACTGGTAACAGCGAGAACTGGATTTGAATCCCAGCTCTACCTGGCCAAAATGTGCGTGCCTTCCTCATGACGAGGGATGAAAGGTGAGCCAAGCGCACACTGTCCTGCACTGACGGAGCTCACCCAGGGCAGGAAAAAGATGATCCAATAATCATGAAAATAAGTGTGAAAGCTCCCCTGTGATAGCGCCTGGATGCTGTGCATATGTAAGAGGTGAGCAGTGGAGGTGACAGCTAAGGATGAGTCAAACTTGACCAGGCTAACAACTGTATGACTTTGGGTGGGTCATTCATCTGTGTCCAGGCTCTTCATCTGTAAAAATGAGAATACCACCGACCTCGAGAGGCTGTTCAAGTGCAACAGCAAAGGTCGAGGTGTCTAAACACAGTACCTGATCGCTCAATAAAAGTTAATGTTCTCTTTACTTCCTCTTTCTACTAAACCCAATGTTTCTACTTTCTCCATCAGGTCATACTCTAGCATGTAAGTAAAAATGCTGCTTGTTTGTAAACAATTAGAAGTGCACACAATAGAAAGAAAATTATCATCAAAATACAAATTTTATGTTCTCACTTTTGACTGCAATGTACGTAATGGGCTATAAAGCTATCTGTCTTTTGTGAGGCATTTGGGCCCAACAATAAAGAAAATTCAAAAGTCAAAAGCCTGGGTTCTGATCAACATTCCTTCACTATCTAGTTATGTGGCCTTGGGAAAATCACTTTCCCTTGGTTAGAGTAAATGATGTTCCAATCCAATTCTGAAGGGAAATTCTGGAGTTTTACAGCCAAGTCACTAACTTGTTAGTGACTCTCAACACTCTAACACTCTGTACTAGTACTGCTTGTATCCACACTAGATGTCTATATATATGTGTATTTATGTATATGTCAGTGTATATCCACACATATTAATGTTTCCCTCAAAGCATTTCAGAGTCTTATTCATCTTGGTATCCCCAACACAATGCCTAGCACAAAGGAGAAACTCAACAAATGTTCATTGACTAAATAAATGAATAAATTAATGCACAGTCAGGAAGAGACAGAATTTTCCCTTTAAAAACTCAAGTGGATCCAAATTACAGTCAGTCACTGAGACTGAATAACTGGAAGGAGCAAGCTGGTTCTACTGGGCAGTGGTTGGGGAAGCATCATGTGATATCTGGAGACTGCCTATTAGCATAAGTTAGCCATGATCAGGGACTTTAGCTGACCATTGCTTTCTCCAAAATTATAAAATTTAGTCTTAGATCTATGGGGTGAGGGGTGGGGGAATCTCTTTAGCAGTTCAAAAGGTGCCAGCCTTTTGGAGGAAAGGTTTGGTTAGAGGAAATGCCCTAAAGACCACATCTTACAGCAAGTAGCATTTACCATCAGGTTCAAAGAGAATAAATTAGAATCAGCATCTCATCCTATGCTTCAACAATGGGCCATTTTCTCCTCTCAAAGGGAACACTCTGCCTTAGTCCCCCTAAGAAACACCACCTTCAAATCTTATACATTATTTAGTGAATTCTTTGGGAAAAAAAATCTCCAAAAAGAAAATAAAGAGTCTTACTTGACCAAGTTTTAAAAATGGAAACAAAGAAAGGCTAAGTGATTTACCCCATGGCATACTAGTCTTCTGATATATAGAACTAGAAAATTAAATCTTAAAGTTCACAGTTGTGGCCAGCAGACTACCCTGCGTTATAAAGTAAATATAGCCAAAACAGAGCCTTGAAAAGATCAAGGCAGGAGGGAGATAAGGCCACAAGTAATTAATACAGGTAACACAGAAGCTGTGCCACTTAAAATAGGGCCCCATAGGACACAATACCATTGTAAATAAGACCCAGTTCAAACGAGGTCCCTCATTCATACCTGTTTTTTATATTCAACTCACACCTGCAATGGTGTGTGTGTGTGTGTGAGGATAACCAGAACTGACAGTGTTTAAAATACGTATAATTCAGATAAAGTGGCAGCTGTGTAATGAACTAAGAAACATATTTTTAAATCTTGTAAATTAAAATTTTTCCCCTTTCTTGATTATCTTGACTTTGAGGAACATATTGTGTAATTTCAGAGGCTGAGACTGATGAATCAAACATTTTAGAAACCTTTGAAATGCTGATGTATTTGTGGTTGAGGACTTAGTTTTTGTTTTTTTTTAAACCACCATATGTTTCAAACCCAAACAATCTCTGCCATGCATCAGTTGGACTTTGGGGTTTTATCAAAAATGTGAGTTATTTCAGCCTGATTGGTGGAAAACTCATTTAATTCTGTAAGATGACTAATGCTCCAACATAATAAACTCATTAAAAAGCAAAGCAAAACATAGCTCCATCCGCACCCCTAACGAACATTTTTGACAGAACAATTTTTTAATCTCCAAAAGACTAAAAGAATACTCATTTTTAACATGGAACCTGGTGAATTAGGTACTGCTACCTTCCTCCCTGAATTTCTTTTCTAATGAAAAGGGCAAGTTGGAAAGGAGTTGAGGAATGTCCTTAAATTTCAGAATGAAGAAAAAAATGATTTAAAGGAGAAAACCTAAACTATGAGGCTGGAGATGTCAAAAGGCGCCACCAAGTGGTGCACTGGAGGAAGTGCGGCCTTCTGCGCTCAGGGAAAGGCTGTCTGGCGAGTCCCGCTGACCTCTTGAGGGGGAGAGGGAGCGGTTCAGTACTGCAGCTGCCCTCAGAGCAACTGCCCTGAAGCCCACCAACCTGGCGTGGGGCGATGGCATTCAATATCATCAGTGCTTCACAGTTTTCAAAAACTGGGTAAGTTAAGTAAATACCACTGTGAGTAGCCGAGTCAGAATTCAAATCCAAGTCCTCTGATTTAAATCCAGAGCTCTGATACCTCCAATTAATTTAACTTCAAATGTACACAGACCTAGAAGTGATGTCAAAAGATTGCACACAATTGTCTGAAGTTGCAGTGGTAATTCTTTCTTCTAAATTGCACAACAGATTTATAGCTTTGTTTTTAAAAAGGACCAAAACTGTTTCTAATGAAAAATTATTTTTCTAAATATATACTACATATATACACACATACACATATACACACATGCATATTTATGCTTGTAGAAAATTGAAAAAATACAAATAGGAAGGAAAAAAAGAAATCACTTAAAATTCACTTAAAGATGTATTTATTTCTAGTCTTTTTCTTTGTTTATGTATAAAATTTATATTATATAAAATTGGGCTCATTCTATATTTAAAATGTTTAAGTCAATATTCAATGACAAAAATATTTCATATAGAATGATTAACTTTCTAAACACTAGAGAAAGAGTAAGTATACTGTAGTCCGTAAGTAGTGATGTGAATTGAGGGCTTCCAAGCAAATATTTCAGCAATGACTGATCCTCTTATCCTTAATCCATTCAGGAAAGGCCTACATAGCTGCTATTATAGAAAAGAGCAGTGAAGAAAAAGTGAACTTGGGTTTACATCCTGGCTCCACCAACAGAGGCTGCAGGACATTTAACAAGTCACTCATCTCAATGAATCTGTTCCTCTCCTGAACAACTGAGATGGCCACCTCTCAGAACATTATTGGGAGGAGTACACGAAATGATGGAAATGCAAACCCTCTGTAAATTACCCAGTTATACAAACACTCTTCAAGATTCTTGGTATTCTCCAAGGCAGTTAGTACCTAGCAAGCACTCTCACGGTTCTCTTTTCTAAAACTGTATGGTATGGTTCTCTTTTCGAAAACTAAACAGCAGCGTAATTTCCCTGGAGTGTTCCTATTTATCTGTAAGGATCAAATTTGCAGAATTTCCCTTTCCTATAGCTCCCTGACTGCCTTGCCATACTGTTTTATGTCTAAAAATTCACCTCCTCTTTCTATTCTAATAAAGTGTTCTGCCCATCTAACTTGAGGTAATTACATTCCCCCAACATTACTACCCTTCTTGATCTTGGTGCTCACTGTGTCACTTCACATTTCTTGAAATCTCATTGTCCTTCCCAGAGCATCTCCCCATTGTTATCTGATTATATGGGTAAATAATTTCCAAACAGAGTTTCCAGTTATTCCTCATGGGATTTTTATTTTTTTGGTTATGTCATTCCTAACACCGTGTCTCTATCACTTCTTGCCCCATCCCTCTTTGAATCCTTTCTATAGGACTAGTAACTTTCTTATCAATCAGATCCATTTGATAAGCTTTTATTACTATGTGTCCAAGATGCCAATTTATAAATATGTTCTTAATTGGTAAACCAATTTGCTCATTTAATTCTTCTGCAACTAACACTAGGTGAGGCCTCTCATGTTCAATCTTGTTGGGCTTTGTCTGTCTCTTTCTCATGTTTAAATAAAAATTCCTTTTGTCTCATCTGGATGGAACACCTTAAATGCAACAATAAGCCCCAGCCAGAGGGGATTGTACACGCGCCCACACACACCCTGGGTAGATGTGCTACGTCTTAGCATATCCAAATACCAGGACCAGGACACCTGGGGTGTTATCACACTTACAGCGTGGGGGTGGAAGCATTGATCAAGTCAACATCCCTCAAGTTATAAATAGTAAATTATTTAAGTAGACCAGCTATTAATTCTCTAAAGAAATATTTTCAAAACAACTAAACAAAAAACTTTCAATCAACATGGGTCTCATCTCTGTCAACCTACTTTGCCCACTCCTGTTTGTGTGCCCCCCTCCCATCCTGCACCAATTTGGATTCCTGGTGGGTTACAGAAGGGCAGGAAAAGGGAATAGCAGAAGATTATCAAGATGAAAATGAAAGCAGCAAAGATAAACAGAGTGAAAGGGATTAAAAAGACATTCATTTGTGAGGTTGATCAGAGTAGGGGTGAACTAAGAAAAAATTATCAGAAGACTCTAATATTTGTTTTGTTTCCCCATAAGGGGGAAAAAAAATCCTCCATGCTACATGTTGTACTTGTTTTGCTTAAATTAATAATAACAGAGTGTCAACACACATGTTGTCCAATAATCCACAGTCTTGGGCATTTTTCCTTAATTTACATTCTCCCAAACAGCCCCACCACTCAGCATTTCTTCACACAGTGTCCTTGCTTATGATACTGTCCTAGTTCTTCAAGGCTTGGTTCAAATCTCATATGACCTGTAAGGTTACCCATGACTGCTCCACCCCATAGACCTCTCCCTTCTGAAAAATCCCTTGGCAGCTGCTACGTGCTGTGACTTACTCTTCCCAACTAGACAAGACAATTCTCCAAGGCAGGGAGTATGTCTCACCCGCCATCAGGGCCTCTTCTCCTTACACAGAATGATGGTACCTAGCACATACTCAGATTGATTTATCTCTATGTCCATCAAACAGGCATTTATCCACTCACACACGGATGCTACATCTGCCACCAAACACTACAGTCCAATGGCCACTGCTCTTGTTCTGAAGCATAACTGCTGCTTGTTTGTGTTTGGCCAAGCTAGCTCCAGTAGAGGATGACTGTGGCTCTTGAGCTAACCCTCCTAGAAAGGCCATCCAAGTGGTAATCAGAGCCCAGCACAAGGCCTAATCCCATGCCAAAGATTCCCATGATGCCGAGGGGCTGTCCAAGTCTCCAAAGTAGGTTTTCCGGGTGTAGAGTGCTCCTCTGCCAGAACAGTCCAGATTCATCCCATTCATTATATAAATTTGCCTTTTTGAGCTGTAGAGATGGCATCACCACAGGAACACTCACCACCACTGGAGAACTGGAGAGCCTAAGTAATTAACCATCTCTCAGTGATGGAATATCACAGACAAGAAGAGCTATAGATATGCAAATCTTCATTACTCATTATGAACACTCAGGGTAAAATAGTTTAGCATCTTTTGAAGCTCTTAAAAAAATGTTTCAAAGAAAGAAAATTACTTACTGCCTTCCCACGTACAATGCAAAAGATTCAAAGCCCCTTCCACCCTCTTCCAGTGTGCCAGATGAAAGAACGCATACGCTATTGCTTCACTGTCCCCTCTCTTCAGGATATGTTCTGGGGGTAGGATTAAGCTTTTCATTTCTAGTAGGTACTGAAATAAAAAAGACAGGAGACAGATGCGTTAATACATAGTAATTTGGAATTCAATATTGAAAATAGAGAGGGTGATTTCCCTAAAGCCACCACTCATAAGCATTTCATAAAACCTGCAACCTCATTACTGTATTTGAAGGCAATTACTAAAACATCCAGCAATTCAAAGTTTGCTGACAGATAATTAGCCTTGTACTGGTTTCCTACAGTGAGGATCAGAGGCTTTCAGGCTAAGATGCTTAATCAAAGAAATATATACAGACTCAAACAGCAAAAAGGAAAATTGAGAAGACACGATAATTTGGTATAATGTTGTAACCAGAATGAAAATATATATAATGAACACATGAAGGTTAAGAAGTCATATGACTAAACCAACTGCACTAGAGACTTGAGATTGACTAGCACTGCCCATTATTTTTTCTATACAAATCTATCAAGGAGAACGACTTAGTCATGTGGAAAGGGCCACCCATCACTGCTCAGATGCTGGAGGGAGAAGGGGTGGCAGCCTGAGCATAGGATGACCCAAAGAGGGGAGCAGTACAGACCCCAAAATACAATTTCTTTAAATCTTTTCCCAAAGACTGGAGAGTTCTCAGTTTACACCTCTTCATTCCTATCTTCTACAAAGGAGGTGGGAGTACAGGGCAAGAATGGATATTCTTCCTGGGGGCTCAGAAGACGAAGTTTTCATTTGTATTCTTCTGTATTTACTATAGAGTAGAAAGGGAAGCAAGTTAGGATGGTATTTCACATTTGCAAATGTTAACTTCTCTTTGCTGGCTGCGTTCTCCCTGTGTCCACTCCTTGTTATCTCCCCTACCGATTCGTCTCCCACACACACAGACATACACGACCACCAACCACCATCGCAACAACCCATGTACCTCCTTTAAAATGGAGATTAGCAGCCAATGGAGGGATGTGTTTAATTAAAATGGGACAAACACAGCAAAAGCAAGTGCTAAGAGAAGAGATGTTCAACAATTTTAATGTCAGAAACAAAATGTCTGTGAATTTATCTGTCAGGGGAAATTTATGAAAGAGGGTGAAGAACAGCAGAATCCTGATATACAGAATGGAGATTATGATACACCTATCAATGTTTCATTCCCATCTCACTGTGGATTTATATGCTTTGGACACCTTGGGTGCAGTTGCCTTTAAGCTTCCTTTCCCATTGGCACACTCATTGTCAAGGTGTACTGCCCAGCAGGCACCGGGAGGACACAGTCTGTCCTCTTGGTTCAGCAAATGAAACTTTCTTGCTCTGGGTCTGTTATTTGAAGAAACCTCCAAGCCTCAGGTCTCCAAAAGGAAGAGGAAGGAAGTGAGAAAGCCCACCCAGAAAACAGTGATACAACCATTACACTTGGGGGGGTGGGTGGGATAGAAGGCCCCCCTTCATGGAAAGATCTCCATGGAAAGACCTCTTCCCAGGCTGGTCCATGAACAGTGTTTATTATTTTGATGGGAACTTCTCAAGCATGAGTTCCAAGAGTACTTTTTGGTCATATGCCTTTTTTTTTTTGTGAGGAAGATTAGCCCTGAGCTAACATCCGCCGCCAATCCCCCTCTTTTTTCTGAGGAACATTGGCCCTGGGCTAACATCCGTGCCCATCTTCCTCTACTTTATGTGGGATGCCTGCTACAGCATGGCTAGATAAGCGGCGTGCAGGTCTGTGCCCGGGATCCGAACCTGCGAACCCCGGGCCACTGAAGTGGAGTGCGCAAACTTAACCACTATGCCACCAGGCTGGCCCCTGTCATATGCCTTTTTGAATTCTACAAGTTACTGCTTTCCTCCTCCATCTTATTTTAAAACAGTGCAAGACAAAAATCTTTTGGGGAAAAATAATGACTTTGAATTACCTAATATTCCAACTAGCACTATATTTACAATGAACATCAACTACAATATAAATATAAAGGTGTATTTTATGTTCAGAGATATTTGGCTTTCCTCTGGTGATTTTGTTACCTTAATAGAAGTCATTATAGTGTATGTTGTTACCGCCCATGAAGATCTCAAAAGACTCGAAGGCTATGAGTCATGTGAAAGACAATATATAACTTGTAAAGTGCTATGAACTGTATTAACTGTCTCAAAGTAAATCAGAAAAGGAAGACTATTTGGTTACTCTTAATAATCATCAGGAGAACAAAGGAAAGGGAAAATTTCTTGCCTAATGAGTGTTCTAGAATAAGATTTTGATTTCTGAGTTTCTAATAATTATTTATAACCACCTGCCTACCAAAAAGTCAATTTTTAAAGAAGGGTTATGCTCTATGAGCTTTGAAACAAACTAAATATGAAAACCACTAGCTCATGTGTCCCAGGTATACAGAAACCTCTTCAAGTCCCTGAATATCAGATGGTGGCTGAAAGAAAAGTGTAAACTACTATTCCTTTTATTTCTATGATTAGGAAAGGCTTTCAAAGTCATTTCATTAAGCATCTATGAGAGAACTCTTCAGTCGGTCTAAGGAAACTTCAGAAATAAAATCCCTGAGAAGAAATGGGCCTGGTAGCCACCTCACTTGTGGGCAGAAGTCAAAACAAACTAGGAGAGGGCAGAGCAGAGGAAATGTGGGTGTGGGGAGGATTTTTAGAAAGTTACCTACAAAGGGATACAATAGATCTGCACTTCCAATATGGTAGCCTCTACCACATGTGGCTATTTAAATTTAAATCAATTAAAATCAAATAAAATTAAAAATTCAGTTCCTCAGTCCCACTAGCCATATTTCAAGTCCTCGAGTGCTGATGTAGTTAATGACTACCATACTGGACAATGCAGAGACATTTCCATTATCACGGAAAGTTCTATTGGACAGCACTGCTGTAGACAATGGAAGTTTCCGATCTTCAAGTAACTAAAGCAATTTTTAACATGAAAACATTTCACAGATGCCCATGATAGAAACTATAAGCGTAATATCTATTGATTGAAAATACACAATATGGCAAAAAGCTACAATAAATGTAATAAAATAAGAATTCATTTAAAAGCATTGTTGGCCACCAGGGCATCCACATATATTTGGAAAATAGTAGTACACATGTATGTGACACAGATAGTTTACTCAGCCTGCAGGCTGAATGTGGTGCATATGGCTTCAAGGACATCATCCACAGCCCCAAATGTGGGCCGTGAGGTAATGTTCTGTTTCTCCTCTAAGCTCCCTCTGATCTTTGTGTATGTACTTCTCACACACTGCCTTATATTAGTTATCTGTGTGTCTTTCCCCTCAGCTGAATCATAAGATCCTTGACAGCATGAATCTCACTTCCTAAGAAGTCTCTCAAAATGTGCTTCTCTGGCCTAATCAGCCTTGTGAGGCTAACCAGAGCAACTCACCAAGGAAATGAAGCTACATTCTCATTCTATCTACTTTATGGCAGAAATAGGTTATGCCTATGAAGATTTATACTCCTGTATAGTTCCAAACAAAATGTTGGCTCTAACCAAATGATGAAGGCTAATAAAAACAATGTGTTATGTTTTTGGCCAGGCTTAAAATGGCTGGCAAGATCAGTTCTCAACATGTGCAACATTTAAATTAGAAAGGCATGGAACAACATTTCACATCTTACTTGTCAAGAGAAAAATAAATGGAAGAGGGCAGATCCCTATCCACAAGTATGCAGAAATTAATTAGAATAACTGAAGCTTGCAAATCAGAGAACACTCTCTGCCTGTCTGTAATAATTATTTGACTTCTATTAGCTAAGCCAGCATTCTGTGCTATCTTGCCTGCCATCCTGCCTCTAACTTCCTTCCCAGATTCTCAAATCACATTGATCTTAAAGTATAGGCTTCTAAAGGTTTCGGAAGCAACTTTTCAAAATCCATTTGTCAGACGTAGTTCCTTATGCCTAATATAGGAACATATGAAGTCAGAATACATAGAGAGGAGCTGAGTACTGCCTACTTATGGAGGTATTTAAGCAGAGGCTGGCTCACATTTCAGGAAGGCTGCAGGAGAGATTTGGCCCATCAGAGGCTACCCCAGGTGACTGTCCAGGTCTCTTCTGTTAAGGTCTTAAAATTCTATAATAATTTGAGTAAAAATGATCGCAAAGTTATCCTTCACATAGATATTAATGTCAAGGAGTTAATGCATACCGCTTTTTTGGATTTTCAATACCAACAATAGCAGAAGTCATATGAAAATCATTAGCAAAAATATGGGACTAAACAAAATGAGAAAGAACAGGTTAATTAAATTACAGCACAGTTAGATGACGGCTATCAAGTTGCTCCCAAATATCAGGTAGTGGAAGAATATTTATTAGCATGAGGAAATGTTCATGATACATTACTAAATGAAAAAAATAAGTATACCATACAGATTATGATTTTGGTAATAAAAGTGTATATGTAGGCATTAAAAACACTGCAAGGTCACTGACTGAATGTTAATGGTGGATAAATATTTGATTTTATGGGAGATTAATTTCTTTTTTGCTTTTCCTGTGCTTTCCAAGTTTTCTGTAATAAGCATTTTTATTTCTCTCTCTATATATAGATATGCATGTGTATGTATGTATATATGAAATACAAACCTATTTTCTAGACCTGCATCAAAAACACAAAAAGTGAACCACACAAACAAACCAAAAAAAGATAACTAGAGATAGCAATTCTTTGATTGTCCACAGTGCTTTGGTGCAACTGTCTCTGAAAGAGGCTGTAAGCCCAGAGAGGACATTTTTAAACCATCAGTAGAGAGTTCAGACAATAAAACTAGTGCCATTTGGAAGACTTGCTACATATTCCGAGTTTCAATGTTGCCTACTCCCTGCACTCAGTAAGACAAACACGGGAATAGGACGAAAATACTGCAAGTAACCATGGCTCGCTCAGATCATGCTGTGATGGGGAATGAGGTGCACAAAGCCTCCTGCCTCCCCTCCCCTCACCCGCCCTCTGTCACTATGAGCCACTGTTTGAATCCCGGCTCTACTGTTCTGCTGTGAGACCTTGGACA